GAGGTCCCTTGCAGCTGACTTGACCAGTGCTTTACGTTGTCTGATGTCCTGACTGCTACTTCCGTTGGCATTGATTGTAGAACCAAGCAGTGTAAAGTCTTTGACAACTTCAACCTTTTCCATGATCCTGCTTATAGGTCCAGTTGTGAGGATTTTTGTTTTCTTTATATTGAGATATAATCCATACAGCAGACTGTATTCTTCAGCCTTCATCAGTAAGTGCTTCATGTCATCCTCACTTTCAGTAAGCAAAGTTGTGTCATCAGCGTATTGCAATTTGTTAATGAGCTTTTCTCTGATCCTGATGCCACGTTCTTCTTCATGTATTCCAGCTTCTCGGATTATTTGCTCAGCATACAGATTGAATAAGTATGGTGAAAGATACAACCCTGATGCACTCCCTTATTGAATTTAAACCATGCAGTGTTTCCTTTTTCTGTTTGAATGACAGCCTCCTGGTCTATGTACAGGTGTCTCATGAGTACAGTTAAGTGTTCTGGAATTCCCATTCTTCTCAATGTTATCCAAAATTTGTTATGATCCACACAGTCAAATGCTTTATAGTCAATAAAACACAAGAAAACATCTTTCTGGTTTTCTTTACTTTGAGCCAAGATCCATCTGACATTAGCAATGATATCCCTCGTTCCATGTCCTCTTCTGAATCCAGCCTGCACCTCTGGAAATTCTTTGTGAATATACTGCTGCAACCGTTTTTGAATTATCTTTACTAAGATTTTACCTGCATGCTGTATTAATGATATTATTTGATAATTTACTCATTCTGTGGGATCACCTTTCTTTGGAATGGGTACACATAAGGATCTCATCCAGTCAGTTGGCCAGGTAGCTATCTTCCAAATCCCTTGTCATAACTGAGTGAGTGCCTCCAGTGGGGCAGCCATTTGTTGAAACATCTCCGTGGGTATTCTGCCAATTCCTGGAGCCTTGATCTTTGCCTGTTCCTTCAGTGTGGCTTCGACTTCTTCCTTCAATACCAGTGGTTCATGATCATATGCCATCTCCTTAAATGGATCAAGATTGACCACTTCTTTTTGGTATAGTGACTCTGTGTATTCCTTCCATCTTTTT